CCCCAAAACCCCAAAACCCCAAAACCCCGCTAATGGTAGAGGAAATTGAAGTTAAAATGAGATATATTAGGATGTATGACTTAAATTCTTATGCAACTACTGGTCATCTTATGTTACTTGTATGTTAATCCAGACTCTCTTTATCTCGGGCTGAGCTTCCATGAATTGCTCAAGATGACTCAACTTAGCATCTCAATCAATAAATTCAATGGTATTGAAGCAGTCTAAGATTACTCATGATTTAATTATGTTTAAAATTTGGTAAAGATCTTTTTTCTTACTCAACAATGGAGGATTTTGAAAGGAGAAATCGCTTTGTAAAGATATGTTTGTGCTAAGTAGATCTCGTTCAAAATCTTCATGAGCATCAAGGACTCCCATTTGATAGAACGAGATTAATTTAATTTGGGATCTAGGCTTAAAGAAGGTTTTCTTGTTTTTATTCAGAATTCTTCAGAGTTCAAATCTAAACTTTTCCAATTTTCAGCTTGCCATCAAAAGTGATCGAAACTCTTTTTCATTGATTAAAAAGCTATTCAAAGTGATACTTTCAGTGATAAAGCCAATGTTCTTTGTCAAATCTCCAGTTTTACCAGATAAACTTTCTTTTTGGGTTCTCTGAGTTGTAAAAGTAGAATGAGAGATCTTTAAAGACTTTAAATCAGTAAACTTCTTCTTAATAAACTTGTTAGCATCTTTACTTGTAATAGGCACCACCATTGAGACTAAAAATGAAGCTTCATGGTATAAATCAAGATAAGGTAGAAAAGTTTGAAGCTTTCTTCACGAGATTTTTCATTTTCGAGAATTGAAAGAAAAGTGTAAGTGATGAGGTTTGATATCCAAAATTGTATGTTTCTCACAGATTGAAGTTTAGCCTGGAGAGTTGCCAATGCTCCACCTTATAAATGTCTTTTTCTCATTTAGAGATAAAATAAATATCTGAACAATTAGCTTCCATTTCAAATTTGAATAAATCAATTATTTTTAATAAATAAGGGGTTTTGGGGTTTTGGGGTTTTGGGG